GCTTAGGGCCCGCGCAGGATTATCCCTGCTAAAAAGAAAAAAAAAAAAAAACAGCGTGTGTTGCTCTTACGTCCACCAGATGGCGCTGATTTAAAAAAAGCATGTATTCCTGTCACAGGTGATGCATGTATATAGTAGATATATAAAAAAACGCGCCTATTCAAATGACACATTGTGTCAAAATTTCAAAGAAATCAGTAAAGAGGTTTCGAAGATTTCCCTCACCTGAAAAGCACATGGAAAAACACCATTTTTCAGAAAAAGCATGTTTTTTTGACTGTCATAAACGTGAAATCTGTATAGTATGTACTTAAAAAACCTGGCCGGATGTGAATGGAACATTATGTGGAAATTTCAAAGCAATCAGTGAAGAAATTTCAGAGATTAGCGATTTTGAACAAACGAACAATTTCCATTTTTATTTATATAGACTAGCAACAGCAACCTTCCCTGTCTCCCAGTCCTCCCAACCATTTCCCCCTCACCCGTCTCCTTGGCCTCTCAACCATGCCCCACTCCACAGTCCCCTCGTCCTCCCCACCATTTTCTATTCCCCCATCCCCTTGTCCCCATCCATCACAAACTCCATCGTCCCCTCGTCCTTCCTCACCATTACCCCCTCCTTTGTTCCTTCGTCCTCCGCACCATCTCTCACATCCGTCCCCCTCATAATCCCCACCATTCCCCACTCCCTCGTCCCATGCCTACCCAAATGGTCTGAGGTTCACATCAGAAAATTTGGAACAAGAAGTGATCAGATGTTCCCATCACTGAAATATAAGAAAAACAGTTAAAAAAATTTAATGAAAATATGAAAAAATATATAAATAAACTATTCTCGCGAAATGAACGGTCTGGTAAACAACACAGCTCAATTCCAACGCAATAATTAAATCAAAATGAAAATAAATCAAAATCAATGAAAATTCTATTTATCAATACAATCAGAAACATTGAAATGGAATGGTATCGTATATGTATAGATTATGTGTTGCTCTTACATGCAACAGATGGCGCTGTTTTTCAATAAAAGCATTGGTTTACCGGTCACAGGTGTGACATCTATACTTATACTTACCTAATGAATGTTATTGTAAACATCACAACTCAATTTTAACACAATGTCACACAAACTAATTCACTAAAAAATAAATTTAACCGAAATCTTTGAAAATAAAATTTATCAATGCAATCGGAAACATTGCAATGGAATTCGTGACATATTTAGTATAGCGTGCTTGTTGACATTACGTGCAACAGATGGCGCTGTTTTTCAAAAACGCATGTTTTTACCTGTCCCAGGGGTGGCATCTATATTAGTAGGTATATAAAAAGACGTGCCTATTCGAATGCAACGTTGTGTCGAAATTTCAAAGCCATTGTTCACAATGGTTGTACTCTTCAAATTTGTCTCACTAATTTATTTTAAATATTCACTATCTTATGCTATTATTATCCATATGCAGCTCCTATTCTATGGGCCAATAAACCATTAGCGAGTATAAAAGGGAGCCTCGCATGGGCCAATAGGCCTTCTGCAGTTCTTATTTATATCCATCTGATTCCCATTTATTTTTCATTGTACCTCACTTCACTTCATCTTTCTCTCCTGCCTGTATATATGTCCAATATTTGATTTCTAAATCATTCCTTCTGAAGATGTATTAATATACGATAGTACTTAATTAAGGAAATTCCTGTTTTAATTCTTCACCGTGGTCTGACACTGTCACATTTTTCATCACGTGTTAATTTTCGTGATTTACACACACACACACACACACACACACACACACACACACACACACACACACACACACATGGGGCCTCGTAGCCTGGTGGATAGCGCGCAGGACTCGTAATTCTGTAGCGCGGGTTCGATTCCCGCACGAGGCAGAAACAAATGGGCAAAGTTTCTTTCACCCTAAGTGCCCCTGTTACCTAGCAGTAAATAGGTACCTGGGAGTTAGTCAGCTGTCACGGGCTGCTTCCTGGGGTGTGTGTGTGTGGTGTGGTGTGAAGTAGTTCGTAAACAGTTGATTGACAGTTGAGAGGCGGGCCGAAAGAGCAAAGCTCAACCCCCGCAAAATCACAACTAGTAAACACAACTAGTAAACACATATATATATACATATATATATATATATATATATATATATATATATATATATATATATATATATATATATATATATATATATATATATATATATATATATGTCGTACCTAGTAGCCAGAACGCACTTCTCAGCCTACTATGCAAGGCCCGATTTGCCTAATAAGCCAAGTTTTCATGAATTAATTGTTTTTCGACTACCTAACCTACCTAACCTAACCTAACCTAACTTTTTCGGCTACCTAACCTAACCTAACCTATAAAGATAGGTTAGGTTAGGTTAGGTAGGGTTGGTTAGGTTCGGTCAAATATCTACGTTAATGTTAACTCCAATAACAAAAATTGACCTCATACATAATGAAATTGGTAGCTTTATCATTTCATAAGAAAAAAATCAGAGAAAATATATTAATTCAGGAAAACTTGGCTTATTAGGCAAATCGGGCCTTGCATAGTAGGCCAAAAACTGCATTCTGGCTACTAGGTACGACATATATATATATATATATATATATATATATATATATATATATATATATATATATATATATATATATATATATATACATACATACATACATACATACATACATACATACATACATACATACATACATACATACATACATACATACACAGATTAAGCAAGAAAGAGAGGGCTGGGCGGACTGCATTTTCTTGGATTGTCGGAAAGCCTTTGACACAGTACCGCATAAGAGGCTGGTACATAAGCTGGAGAGACAGGCAGGTGTAGCTGGTAAGGTGCTCCAGTGGATAAGGGAGTATCTAAGCAATAGGAAGCAGAGAGTTACGGTGAGGGGTGAGACCTCCAATTGGCGTGAAGTCACAAGTGGAGTCCCACAGGGCTCTGTACTCGGTCCTATCTTGTTTCTGATATATGTAAATGATCTCCCGGAGGGTATCGATTCATTTCTCTCAATGTTTGCGGACGATGCTAAAATTATGAGAAGGATTAAAACAGAAGAGGACTGTTTGAGGCTTCAAGAAGACCTAGACAAGCTGAAGGAATGGTCGAACAAATGGTTGTTAGAGTTTAACCCAACCAAATGTAATGTAATGAAGATAGGTGTAGGGAGCAGGAGGCCAGATACAAGGTATCGTCTGGGAGAGGAAATTCTTCAGGAGTCAGAGAAGGAAAAAGACTTGGGGGTTGATATCACGCCAGACTTGTCTCCTGCAGCACATATCAAGCGGATAACATCAGCGGCATATGCCAGGCTGGCCAACATACGAACGGCATTCAGAAACTTGTGTAAAGAATCATTCAGAACTTTGTATACTACATATGTCAGGCCAATCCTGGAGTATGCAGCCCCAGCATGGAGTCCATATCTAGTCAAGGATAAGACTAAACTGGAAAAGGTTCAAAGGTTTGCCACCAGACTAGTACCCGAGCTGAGAGGTATGAGCTACGAGGAGAGACTACGGGAATTAAACCTCACTTCGCTGGAAGACAGAAGAGGTAGGGGGGACATGATCACCACATTCAAGATTCTGAAGGGAATTGATAGGGTAGATAAAGACAGTCTATTTAACACAAGGGGAACACGCACAAGGGGACACAGGTGGAAACTGAGTGCCCAAATGAGCCACAGAGATATTAGAAAGAACTTTTTTAGTGTCAGAGTGGTTGACAAATGGAATGCATTAGGGGGTGATGTGGTGGAGGCTGACACCATACACAGTTTCAAGTGTAGATATGACAGAGCCCGATAGGCTCAGGAATCTGTACACCTGTTGATTGACGGTTGAGAGGCGGGACCAAAGAGCCAGAGCTCAACCCCCGCAAACACAACTAGGTGAGTACAACTAGGTGAGTACATACATACATACATACATACATACATACATACATACATACATACATACATACATACATACATACATACATACATACATACATACATACATACATCTGAAAACTCCACACCCCAGAAGTGACTCAAACTCAGACAGCCAGGAGCACTATGCACCTTGGCATACCTGGTTCTTTAACTACTCGACCACTGTAACTGTACAAAAGTCATTGGTAGCCGAGGCCATATCCCCAGCGACCCGACAGCACCTGGTGGTAAACTTGGGCATAGATATTTAATCGAATCACCTCACTTTGTTGGGCCACGTGAGCAACACAAATGTGAACAAGCTTGAATGACTCCAAAGCCAATATGCAATTGAAAACTCCACACCCCAGAAGGATTTAAACCCACACAGTTTCATGCGGAGGCGCTTGACATTCGACTTGATAATGGTCCCACACGGACCGAAACGTCGTCGTCTCCTCATCTTATGGTGTGTGGTTTGATCATCATATCTTCAGTTATATTTTTGTGACTCATCATCTGCAAAGGCACTATTTGGTTTTGATCTGGATTTGTCAGTGACCATTGTACATACGTCTATTATAAGTGGTTATACATGCCTATGAAAATTTTCTAGAACATTCTAAAGCCAGATCAATGCTGCTGAATTGGTTAAATAATGTTTTGGACAATTGCGAAAATAAGCCCATTTTAAAATGCTAAAAATACTAGTGTTTGTTATTATTTGACAGCAGCGGCTTAGATAGTATCTGGACCATGATTACGACAATATTCAACTTAAATGCGAAATCGAAATTAGTCGTTTCAAAGGCCCAATTGCCATTCAGTAAGTGGAGATGAACATATTCTCAGTTCAATCCATGTCGAAAGATCTAAGGTGAATACGAAAACACTGACTGGTTGTCCATTTGAGAAGATGACTGCACAATGGAAAAATTAATTTCCATTTCTTGGAAAAGTAATATACTACAAGTAACTAAAAATGTGTAAGGCACATATTTCATAAATATGCATGAAATAAGCGTCGAACATTGGCATACATTGAAATTCTGCCTATGTTTTGAATCTGTAAACCACATCATGATGGCGGAGGGGTCGTCCACCACACTGCGGAGAGTCTGGTATGGTTGCTTGATGTGTCTCACAGCCAGACCTGACATGAGGTTCCCGGAGTAACTCTTGACCAGCACCTGTGCTACCATCATCATCCAGAGCAGGAACACCAGCCGCCTCCACCACCAGCGGCCCGATACCACGCAGTCTGGAGTAGTGTAAGGTACAGTAGGTGGGATGGCGAGTCACAGGTCACTTGCACCAATATCATAATAACATCTAGGCAACCAGTAACTGGATTTCATCACAAAATAAATTTGGGACTACATTATTATGAAGTTATGTAGCCCTATCTCCCTTTTAATTATCTTCTTACAATCAATAATTAATCTATTTCCAATTCAAGTATCTAAGTTGTATATTTTACATATTTAGAACTGATAACGCAAACGAAAGAGTAGATGTGAAAAAAAACAAATATAAATCCTAAAACATATAATAAAAACACAAAAGTATTACTGACCCTGTTGTAACAAAGCACTAATCAAACGGAAGGAGTCTCTTTCCCAGTTCCTCTCTGTGGCAATGTGAGTCATAGATAAGAACGACGAAGCCAGGAACAGCGTGAGGGACAACATCAGGAGCGTCGTCATGGTGGCCGCCCACACTGGGAGCTCCAGGGGAAACGCGAAGCCCCATGGGTCCACCTCCGGCAGGCCTCGAGTGCCCAGGATCCTACTGTACTCTACAGTTATTGGCCACATGAAGTCCACCACTGAGGCCAAGGCCGGAGACAAACCTAGAGGGCCTAGAGCGAAGTCGGCTTCCTGAAAAATGACGACAATAGGCACTTCTGTAGGTTATGACAATAGGTTTTGGTTAGTTTTGGGGGTCATTGGAAAATGAGTTTCTCTCACTGCTGGGCACTGCTTCGGGGCAAGGCTTGCCCCAAACCCCTCTCTCTCTGTCTCTCTCTCTGTCTCTCTCTCTCGCTCTTGCTCTCTCGCTTTCGCTCTCTCACTCTCTCACTCTCTCGCTCTCGCTCTCTCTCGCTCTGGGTATATAAAAACACATGCCTATTTGAATGTAACGTTGTGTCAAAATTTCAAAGCAATCGGTAAAGTGGTTATAAAGATTTCCCTTACATTAAAATCACTTGAAAAACACCGATTTAAAAAAAAACATGTTTTTCCCGTCACAGCTGTGACATCTATATAGTTTGTATATAAAAACACGCTCTGATGCGAATGAAACGTTGTATCAAAATTTTAAAGAAATCGGCGAATAACTTTCGGAGATAAGCAATTTTTAACAAACGAACATTTACATTTTTATATATAGAGACTAGATCTACCCGGCCATGCGTTGCTGTGGCTCAGTAACTCATGTGTGTTGCTGTGGCTCAGTAATGCATGTGTGTTGCTGAGCCACAGCAACCTTCCCCTGTCTTCCAGTTCTGACCATTTCCCCGTCCGCTGTCCTCTCATCCTATCAACCATTCCCCACTCGCCCGTTCCCTTGTCCTCTTCACCATTCTTCTCCCTCCCCCATCCGTTTGTCCTCCGCACCATCCCCCACTCCACCGTCCCCTCATCCTCCTAATTATTCCCCACTCCACCATCCCCTAGTCCTCCCCTCCATCTCTCTTCCCCCATCCCCTCGTCCTCCCTACTTCCCCACTATCCCTTCCCATCGTCCTCCTCCACCATCCCGCACTCACCTTTTCCCTTGTCCTCCCTACTAGTCTCTATTCCCTTGTCCCCTCGTCTCCCACCATCCTCAATACCCTGTCCTCCCAACCATTACCCCTCTCCCTTGTCCCCTCATTCTCCAAGCCATCCCCTACCCCCCGTCCCCTCATCGTCCCCACCATTCCTCACTCCCTTGTCAGATTCATTCCCAAATGATCTGATGTTCCCATCAGAAAATTGAGAACATCAAATGATCTGATGTTCCCATCACTTAAATGTAAGAAAAACAGTTAAAATCCCAATGAAAAACATTGAAAAAATAACAAAATATACTATACTCACAAAATTACCGGTACGGTAAACAACACAGCTCAATTCCAACGCAATATCACACAAAATAATTAAATAAAAACAAAAATGAATCGAAATCTATGAAAATTAAATTTATCAATGAAATCAGAATCATTGAAATGGAATCGTAACACATTTAGGAAAATGTGTTGCTCCTAAGTGCAACAGATTGTGCTGTTTAAAAAAAAATGATTTTACCTATCACAGGTAAAGCATCTATACTTATACTCAGGAAATGAACGGTATGGTGCACATCACACCTCAATTCAAATGCAATGTCACACCAAATAATTAAATCCAAATCCAAATAAATTGAAATCTACAAAAATTAAAATTGTCATTGCAATTAAAAAAAATGAAATGGAATCAACATATTTGGCATAGCGTGTTTTGCTCTTACATGCCAGAGATGGCGCTGTTTTTCAAAAAACCCATGTTTTTACCTGTCACAGCTCTGGCATCTGTATAATTGTTATAAAAAAACACGTGCTAATTTGAATGGAACATTGTTTCAAAATTTCAAAGCAATCAGTGAAGAATTTTTGGAGATTACAGCATGTGTTGCTCATACATCCAAGAGATGGCATTGTTTTTTAAAAAAGAATGTTTTTTCCTGTCACAAGTGAGGCATGTATATAGTAGGCATATAAAAAGACGCACCTATACGAATGCAACTTTGTGTCAAAATTTCAAAGCAATCTGTAAAGAGCTCTCAAAGATTTCCCCTTACATAAAAAACACACGAAAATACAAAACACAAAAACACATCTTTACAATAATATATATACTAGCTTTACCCGGCCACAACAACCTTCCCTGGTCTCCCAGTCCGCCTCACCATTCCCACCCACCCCTGTACTTTTGTGCTGTCCACCATGCCCCACTCCACTGTCCCCGCGTCCTCCTAACAATTCCCCACTCCACTGTCCCCGACAGTGGAGTGGGACAATTTAGGAGCTGGAGGCCAGTAGACTATCACCTAAGAAATCTTAACAAACAACACAAAAATCATCGATAGATACAGCGATAGCAGGAAACTCGACATCAGCGAGACTCTACACATCAAAAAGTCAACACCAGCCATCAACAGTTAATTAATTCGTGATAACATACACCTGATCACATATGTCATATCATTAATGCAAACACTAAAACGACAAGGCCGATGGGTACTTATCAACTGGGTGCCAAGTCATGTGGGAATATTTGGAAATGATATTGCAGACGAAGCTGCAAAACTTGCAACTAAGAGAAGAAATGTAGGCATTTACATACCACAGAGTCTATCCCAGGAAACAATTTTAAATTTCCACAACGTTCCTGGAAAGTTTTTGAAAGGATTGGAAATGTTTGTTTTCACGAATTAGATACATTATTTTGTGTAGAATTTAATAGGTTTCCGAAACTTATAATCAAAACCTACGCACTTAACCCTAATTTGAAACTTTGTGACCCCTTTTGTACTCTAATTTGAAACTTTGTGACCCCCTTTCGTACCTAATTTGAAACTTTGTGACACCTTTTATAAAGTGTTTCAGGTTAAAATGCTCAAATATGAATAAAATAGGAAATGTAAAAATATGAAAATATATTTCTACATTTGGTAAAATAAAGCATCATAATAAAGGTGGGTTCATCATTTTTATTCATTTATCATTTGTAGTAGTGTAGGGTAGTGGCCTGGTGTAGTAGCGTGATGTAGTAGCCTGGTGTAGTAGCCTGGTGTAGTGGAGTGGTGAAGTGGCGTGGTGTAGTAGCCTGGTGTAGTGGAGTGGTGAAGTGGCGTGGTGTAGTAGTCTGGTGTAGTAGTGTGGTGTAGTAGCGTGGTGTAGTGGCATAGTGTAGTGGCATGGTGTAGTGTAGTGGCGTGGTGCAGTGGCGTGGTATAGTGGCATGGTGTAGTGTAGTGGCATGGTGTAGTGGCCTGGTTGTTACGGACCCGAATCCAGCGTCCGAGCACGGAGCAGTGACGACCGCGCCATCTGTGGGTCAGCTCCCGAAACCCCCTCCAAATGGACGACGACACCTGGTGAGGACGAGGTGTACTGGCCACGAGGGCCAGTTTCCAGTCCTGTTCAGCTCACAACACAGCCGCTGCTGACCTCTGGTGAGGTGGTGCTCAGACGACAACGCCAACTATGGAGTGGATACGTCGGGCGTTTGTGTCTGAGCCTATAAGTGGGGTGCTTTGGTGTGTCCCTGTTATTGATGACGTGTCTGCTTACAGAGTCGACCTGGGACTGCTGTAAGGGAAGTTGAGTCAGTCTACCCAAGGCAGCCGTCTCGACACCAAGTGTTTTGCTGCAGCAGCTGTGAGTCGCCTCCCGGATGAACACTGTCGTGTTACCCTGCCTGTGAAGCGGCAGTTGAGGATTGTCATACCCGGGACTGACTGGTGGAGACGATTAACCACTGGGGTATTGTGGACAGGAGAGTGACCTGTGGTATCACACGAGGCTCCTGACTAGGGCGCTACCCTAGTATCGCTCGTGGAGTAGCCTGACCAGCATTGCTGATCCGGAACCTGCCAGCTGTCTGCTGGACTTGTGGTTGACGGCCTCCACGGCGGTGCCCCCAGTGGAACTGTGTTTTGGCTGGCCTGTGGCCGGGGTAGACTCAGCTTTTCGAAGGATTCGTCGTGAGGCCACGAGAGCACCGAGAACTTGGCATCGAGAAGATCCAGAGTCTTCAGAAGAAGACGACAGTGTAGATAATACCCCTGTGTAGTGTTTATACCCTCCCCCGAGTAATCTTCTTATATATATTTATTGGTGAAGGTATTAATTATAATCTTAAGTTTTTGCCTTTCTTTCCCTTCCCCTTTTATTTTACTTGCGTTACGGATCACATCCCTTGAAAGCCACTATTGGCTTGGGGCCGGATACCCATCCTCTAGCAACACCAGAGTAAGAACCCAGTTGCGACCCGAGAGGGCCGTAACACTGGTGTAGTAGCCTGGTGTAGTACTGTGGTGTAGTAGCCTGGTGTTGTGGCGTGGTGTAGTAGCCTGGTGTAGTAGCGTGGTGTAGTAGCCTGGTATAGCTGCGAGTGTAGTGGCCTGGTGTTGTAGTGTGGTGTAGTGGCGTGGTGTAGTAGCCTGGTGTAGTTGTGTGGTGAAGTACCTGCTTGATGGGGTTCTGGGAGTTCATCTACTCCCAAAGCCCGGCCCGAGGCCAGACTTGAATTGTGAGTTTAGTCCACCAGGCTGTTGCTTGGAGCGGCCCTCAGGCCCACATACCCATCACAGCCCGGTTGGTCCGGCACTCCTTGAAGAAAACTATCTAGTTTCCTCTTGAAGATGTCCACGTTTGTTCCGGATATTTCTGATAACGTGGTGTAGTGGCGTGGTGTAGTGACGTGGTGTAGCTGCATGGTGTAGTTGTTTGGTGTAGTGGTGTGATGTAGTGGCATGGTGTAGTGGCATGGTGTAGTGGCATGGTGTAGTAGCCTGGTGTAATAGTCTGGTGTAGTAGTCTGATGTAGTAATGTGGTGTAGTAGCATGATGCAGTAGCGTGGAGGGGCATGGTGTAGTAGCCTGGTGTAGTGGTGTGGTGTAGTGGTGTGGTGTAGTAGTGTGGTGTAGTTGCCTGGTGTAGTGGCATGGTGTAGTGGTATGGTGCAGTGGCATGGTGTAGTAGTGTGGTGTAGTGGCGTGATGTAGTAGCCTGGTGTAGTGGTGTGGTGTAGTGGCATAGTGTAGTAGCGTAGTGTAGTGGCATGGTGTAGTGACGTGGTGTAGTGGCGTGGTGTAGCTGGATGGTGTAGTTGATTGGTGTAGTGGGGT